GAAACATCACCGAAGTATCCCAAGGTGAAGCGCAACACACCCCAACACCCAAATCAACAAAATGACAAGTTTGACATCATCTACACTAGGGGAAATATCACCGGAGTATCCCAAGGCGAAGCGAAACACGCCCCAACACCCAAATCAATAAAATGACAAGTTTGACATCATCTACACTAGGGGAAACGTCACCGAAGTATCACAAGATGCAGGGCAACACCCCCAGGCACCCAAATCAACAAAATGGCAAGGTTGACATCATCTACACTAAGGGAAACATCACCGAAGTATCACAAGATGCAGCGCAACACCCCCGGGCACCCAAATCAACAAAATGACAAGTTTTATATCATCTACACTAGAGGAAACATCACCGAAGTATCCCAAGGTGAAGCGCAACACACCCCAGCACCCAAATCAACAAAAATCGTAGTCTTGACAAGAGGAGGAGGGGGAGAAGGAGGAGAGGGAGAAAGAAAAGAAAAGGAAGAAGAAGAGGGAGAAGAAAAAAAAGAAGAAGAAAAAGAGGAGGAAGAAAGAATGAGAGAAGAAGGAAAAAAAAAAAAAAAAAAAAAAAAAAAAAAAAAAAAAAAAAAAAAAAAAGAGAAGGAGAAGAAGAAGAAGGAGGAGACCTTCCTCCTCTTTCACTCACCTCTCGCTGGTCTCTAGGCAATGGAGTCCCAATGCTTGGATCTAGCCTCCTGAGTATGGTTTTTCCTCCTCCCAAGCTTTTCCCTTCTTCCCTCACACCTCTCCTCTAGCTATGGCAGACTCCTACCTCTAAGGTTGTGAAGTCCTTCCCTCTAGAAGGGCTAGGGGGACCCCTTTCAGCCTCTCGTCCTACCTCACAGCCTGAGGGCTATGGCGGATCACATCCCTTGCCTTTCTTTATCATCTAGACCTCCACCCTCAGCCCTGTCACCATAGCCAGACTCCAGGCTAGCTCCGGCTCGTACTCCCTTGCTTCACTTCCACTCGGCTCTCTCCTAGACTCATTTGGGCAGCATGGGCACCTCTCATGCTCAAATGAGAGTGGCGGCCTGCACCATTAACTTATGTAGGCCGGAACAGGTGCACCGTCGAGCCTCTAGGCCTCTCCAAGTGCCTCTAGGTGGGCCGAGGTACCCCCAAGGCCAAATTTTCGGTTTGGCCTATCTGGAGGTACGTGGGCCTCATTTTGGCCAGGTACATGCAACCTGTGAGGCCGGTAGCTTCTCCCCATTGGTCTACCCGGGCCTCTTTTTACTTAAAAAAAAGCTGCCTTTTGGGGTACCACTTCCCAAAATGCAGCCTTTACTGAATTTTGAGGGCATAAAGGTCCATTTTTCGTTATTTTTCTGGTCTAGGTTTTTTTTGGGTAGGCCGTTGCATTTTTCCAAGTGGTGGCTCCAATCTCAGCCTTGGATTTGGCTGAGATCCATGGTCCTCATCATTCCGAGCTACCCCCAAGCTCCCCTTGGCCCAAATTTGAGCCTTTTACTTCAATTTTCAATTTTTTTGGTGTATCTGGCTCAATCCTTGGGCCAAATATGCAGTTTTGTCTTGTTCCTCTCTTTGTTTTCCCTCCATTTTGCTGCCAACTCATTACGGAGCTAACCGTTTTGTGTCAGCCCACAAAAAACGGCTAGATCTCCTCCTCCGCAAGATTAAATCTTAGATCTAAGGCCCAAAAATGAGTCGGCCAACTCACATCAACATTTTTTCTTATT